CATTTTGGTTTTCTCAAGTATGATCCTTAAACAGAGATTATTTTATAATTCAGTCATTCAGGGTGTTTTGCCTTGTGGTTTCACAGCATGGCTCAGCAACAGTTCAATGCAAGTTTATAAGTCAGGCAAGCTTTTCTGGAGACAGAGGCGAGGTTTTTAGAGACAAGTGTATGGGGAATAATACAACTGGTGATCATTAATATCCCATTTTATCATCATGGGAAAAGGATCCTGCTGTGTAAAAGGAATAGATACAAATCATTTTTTATGCTAGAGTGAATTCAAATGCTAAATATATATAAGGTCCCTTTTTTAAGTTCCAGGGCAAGAACACATACAAAGCATTAAAATCTTTTTTTTTTCTTGAATCAAAGTATATGTTTCCCCTAAACTACATTCAGTACTCTACTGTCGAGGACAAAAGACCCATTTTTGATCTGTCATTAATGATGCTTTAAAGCACTCTGTGAAATAATAATCCCAGTCAAGGACAGCGATACTTTTTAGTGCTGTGATATTATTTCAAAACTAGTGCCCCAGCACTGTTCTGTCTTGCAGATGTTTTATGGTAAGGACAAAAATCAGATGAGTCATATTGTCACTTGCACGGCATTAAAGAATAACGACAGAGCCAAGAGGAGCGGGAGAGGATGGTGAGACGGGGAGTGAGGGATATACATATTTTGCCATCCTTGGTGATAACATTAATGTCAAGGTGGAAGGGGGAAGGAAGACATCAAAGCTAATGAATATTTATGGATGCCCATAGTAAAGTGCTGTTTTAGAGTGAAGTGGGACAGAATGGCCTCATGAAGACAGCACTTTAGGGCCTACTCCAGCACAGACTGTGGCTCTATGAATATTCATTGCTCATTGTCCCAAAAACAATTTGCTTAACGCTTTTGACTTCTTTTCATCCGTAAAATGTGTGTATTTTTTTTTCTTAACCTATGCATGGTTTGGACTATACTGTATCTACCCTCACTTTTGTTCGGTCTGTTACAGAATTTTTTTTTTAAATTTTTGGCACATAAATGAAACAATCCAAAAGTCTGTATTTATTGATATATAGCATAGGGCACATCGATCCCTTCAGTACAGAAAGGAAAAAAATATAAGAAGTTTGTCATATAGATAATTCATTATATTCATACAGCTAAGTGACATGTTTTTCACAGGGCCTGTGTCCCCTGTGCAGATTGTGCAGATATTCATTCTGTGTATTTATCTTTTTATTGATTTAAGTAGGACAGTCTGTAACAGACAGGTACAAGACTATAACCCCGTCACATGCCAGACAGCATCATCCTTGAGCAGATTTCACAAGATGCTACATTCCTTCCACCTTTCCCCCACTGTGCAATGCGTTTGTCTCTATAGCTCACACTAGTGCTGTTTGAAAGCTCTTTGGATCATTCATTCTGTGTGTGTGTGTTGGGGGGGGGGGGGGGGGGGGGGGGGGGGGGTATCAAGGTGGGAATGTGGTAGAAGAAACACCCAGTCTAAATAGTAACACAAGACTAAGATGAAGGAAAGAAAGGAAAAAAAAACAGAATATCACAATGTTGCTATGGTTACTTGTCCCACACGACTACCAGCTCCTCCCAGAGTAAACAGTGCCTGATAAGGGAACAGAAGTACGGTGCCTTTGAGTGGTGTGCTGTTGGCAAATGGAGGCCTACAATGAATATTCTGTGTACAAGTATTCGTATGTTATATGTGTGTGTGTTTTTGCAATATGTCTCTGTTGCTGTCTTTGACAAAAACAAACATAAAAAAAAAGAATTAACACTTTTTTCTTCTTCTTCATCACTTACATATGGGACATTTTTAAAGAACATTTGTCTTTCCTGTGCTCCTCACTGCACAACAGGGTGGCATACTGGTTTCGGAGACCTTCCCGTGACCCCGGTGAAGCAGATTTATTGTCCAGAAAAATTGCGTGTAGGTCAACTGTCCTTGAGCATGACAGTATTTTATGCACTGTACATCACTCTGAGTTAGCATCAACAAAATGCTTCCCCCCACTCCAAAGGGGATTATTTATTTTTCATGTTAAGTGATGCAAATTGTGTACATATTTCCCCTGTTGTTGTATAATGGCTTTAACTTTAATTCACTTCTTCCTTCAACATCTCTTCCTCCTCCATCTTTCTCGTTGTCTTTTGTTTGGCCCTCATTAAAATCTCACACCTATAAGCGTAAGTGCCTCTTGCTGTCTAACTCTGGGGAGTCACCTCTTGACATTGGTGAAGTAAGCCTCTTACCAAAATCTTGTGGACTACATGTGCAGTGATGGAGGGCCTTATCAGACTTATATAAATCCTGTGAGTACAGGTAACTGCTGCATTTCACTAATCTGAGCCTAAAGGAAGTGGAGTTGCTCTAAACGTACAAACATTGTAGGTTATTGTGTAGGAAGGTTTAGTAATCTGATTGGCACTGTTATGCTACACTTCACACTAATAATTAAACAGTTTAACATAATTTTTAAAGTCAATACCTGATGAAATTTTGTCAGTGTTCACTATGTAGATAGAATTTGCATTTGTACCAAGATATTCTTTTGCTATTGGTTAAAAATCCGTGGTCCCTCCCAGTCCAAGATGGCACTCGTCTAGAATGAGATCTGGACCATATAGAACTTGTTGACCATTATAAGGATAATATATAGTTATGTAGTGCACTCTAGACAGCCATACTTGTCAGTGTGAAAAAAAAAAATACTCCCAAAATAACCAGTGCAAGTGCAAAAGGATGTAATTTCCGGTTCACGTGGCATGCCCTTGTGGTTGTACATATGTGATTTACCTGTCATTTCATTTACATACGACACACCATGAATTTCAGAAATTCCACTGTTTTTCTCACTTTTATGCATTAATGTTTAATTTGGATTATATAACAAGAGCTTGGGCCCACTACAAGCAAGTTACCAAGACTACAGCTGAGGAGAAGAGAAAGAGAAGGATGTTTTTATTCTCTTTCACTCAGCTGGCTCACAAGAAGATGACATTTTGTGAGCTCATACACTTGACATCAAATAATCAAATGAGAATATTAAATAAAATTTAAAAATAGGTGAATAAAACCTAAGATGTGCTAACTTGTGTCTTACTATTTTATAAGAAATGAAGAGGGTAAGTAGCAGCCAGGTGCTGCTAATCAAATGTACCTTATTAACTGATCTTCAGCAAATGTGAGCACCTCTGTAAAAGCAGAAGGTTTGGCACGGGGGTATTTAGAGCATTCAGGTGTGTTTTAAATCAGCGCCAAGGAAGAAAGACATCAGCAATAATCTTAGAGAAAGAAATTGTTTCTAATCATCTACAGAGACTGCAGAGACTATAAGACCTTTTTCAAACCATTTGACGTCCATCATTCCGCAGAAAGATAGATTATTCACAAGTGGAAAACATTCATGACAGCTGCCAATTCCCTAAGAGTGGAAATCTTCACCCCAAAGTCAGAACATGCAATGTTCAGCCTCGGTTAACATGTTAGATGTTAAAGTTTATGACATGACAAGTATGGCTTGTTTCAAATAGTTGCCAGGAAAAAGCCTCTCCCCTCTAAAAAGATCATGTTGCATCTGAACCAACCACAGGACTTGTGGAAAAATGTCCTTTAGACAGATGACACCAAAGCAGACACATTTGTGCTGATATGCTGTTTTTGGTATCGGCCAAATGTGATGCTGTGCATTATGGCCAAACACCTCATACCATCTGTGAAGCACTGTGGTGGAGGGGTGATGAGTTGGCTTGTTTTGCAGCCACAGGACCCGGACACCTTGCCGTCATTGAGTCAACCAATGACTGTTGTATACCAAATTGTTCTAGAGTCAAATGTGAGGCCATATGTCAATAGGTCATGAAACAGGACAATAATCCCAAGCACAGCTGCAAAAGTCCAGTTCAAACCGCATTGCATTTGAAATGTGCTGGAGGAATTTAAGACAACCATGCATCAATTAAGTTAAGAAAAAAAAGCACATCAGCCCAGAAAGTACCTCATTCATGAGATGACTTTCCAAGTCCTGCATCTTTGCATCTGAACATATTATTTATATAGAGTTCATTAATTCAAAGAAAATCTTTGTTTTTTTTCTTTGCAGTTTCATTTTTTTAATTCATCAATGCCTTTTTGTGGTATTGTGTAGTAGCTTTGTAAAGTTTTGTAATGTGTTTACAGTACAAAGTTGTGGTAAAAGTATGTGTTGTCTTGAGGCATTTATTGAATTTCAAAGCATAGTAATATTTTTTGCAAGAAAAAGTAGGTATTATGCTATAAGGTTATTGGTAGAGTGGTGCAAACATTTCCCATCTCCCACGCATCCTCTTCAAACCACAATTATGCAGAACCACTTGAAAGTCTTAGGTGATGGAGCCGACACACTGAGAATACAAAAATATAGTGACTATTGAAGTAGTTTCAAGTAAAATGCTAAAACACTGTATATAGAGGTTTTTTGTCAGCTGTGTGTGTGTGTGTTGTGTGAGTCAAAATCAGGCTGTTGGCGGACCCTCACTGTGTCGGTGATGGTAATAGTTTGCCAGAGCCTTGGGGGAGCTTCTCAGCAGGCGATGGTGTGTGTATGTGTACGTGATGTTGTCTGTGTGTTTGTGTGCACATATCAGCAGGAAAGGGTAGAGCAGGCCCCACAGTGCATGTCTCAACAGCCAAGTCATCAACCCTTTTAATCCAGCCCAGCAGGGATGTGTTTGTGTTTTTGACGGCGCTTGTGTGTGTATGTTTGAAGAACTTCGTGAGAAGTGCTGCCATGAAGTTGTTTATATTCTACTCTGAGGAGTGGCAGAAAGCTGTCCAAAACATTTTCAGCTTGATGTGATTTTTTTAAATACAATATTGAACTTTTTCTCTTTTATCCGTGTCATGTTGATTTTGTTTGAAAGTATTGCCTAATATGTCTAATGTCCAATCAGATCTCTCTCTATCCCCGCCTCACCCATCCTATTCTCTCTTCTCTCCCCCTGCAGGACGAATGTCATAGGATGAACACTGCTGGTGGGGTGTGTCTGTCTGTGCTGTCCTCTCTCCTGGCTGTGGCTGGGGCCCTGGCTGCCGTGTCTGCCCTCGCTCTAGCTCCTCTCTCTGCCCTGGCTGAGGCTGCCTATGGGGTTGCCAATAGCGTCCCCAGCACCGGGGCAGAGGGGGCCCCCTCGCCTTTGTCCTCACCATGCTCCAGCCTTGTAGCTGGGGTGCTCTATGGCTCTTTCTCCCTAAGGGAGCTTTTTCCCTCCAGGGCACCGGGTTGTTCCTGGTCTCTGGAAAACCCGGATCCCACCAAGTACTCCCTCTATCTCCGCTTCACGCGCCACCCTGTCATTTGTAGGACACACTCCCCCATGCTCCTTTCCCTTGACCACCACCTAGCCAATCAAAGCTGTCCCCTGCACTTACAGACGGCCACAGCCAGAGATCAGGAAGTCATCGATCTTTGTGGCAGCCGCACCAGTTCAGACGGACCTTACTCCTTTCTTCAGTTCGATAAGAACTTTGTCCAACTGTGTCTAACGAGACATCCAGCTGCAGATGAGCCTCAGGTATCTAAGGAATTGCTGGAGCTGAGACTGGTAGAGGTGTTACTCATTAACAACGAAAACTCCAGTCAGTTTACCTGCGGTGTGCTCTGCCGATGGTTCGAGGAGTGTTTGCGCACTGATCACAATGCAGACCAGGAGGTTTCTGATGGGGATGGTTGTGGGATGACCCAGACAGGCTGTATTTGTCCAAATCACAACATTATGGCACCACCTGTTCCTCTGCTCCCAGAGACACCGCACACTTTCAGTAACGGGTCACTGGCTCCTGATGACTGTTGCGTCACCGAACTGCATTCCAATGATGCAATCGCCATAGCGCCCCGAGACGTACGACAAGGTAGGATTCCTTTCACTGTAATTTATGAGGTGGTGTTTCAGTGCTGGTCTTGCTATTTTCAGTGAGCACACATCCCTATGTGAAAATTACTTTGGCCTTGTAACACAACGTGCAATAAAGCAAGATAGTCCAAGGTGCAAGCTGACCCAAACACTCTGAGTTGTTTATTTTATGTATCCACTCGGAGTAACAAATGGAAAAGAAAAGTTTGTTATCGTGCCTTTTTGTAGCACCTCGAGAAGCGGTGGAGGTGGCGAGAGGGGGGTCACATTGGCTGCTTGACAGATAATTTATTATTTGAATTTTGTCTTTTGCATGTTGGCCTTTAATTTAAAAAAACGAAGCAGTTCAAAGGAGGCCCTTTAAACCTTCCATCAAAAGATTTGTAATGCCTGACAGAAATCCAGCCTTTTGATCTATATTTTAGAGATTCCCCCATGTGGCCAAGGGGTGGGTCTCCCATGACTTCAGTTTACATGCTGAACGGTATTGTGTGTGTATGTGTGTGTGTATCCATCCACTGAGAATGTTAGGACTAGATCAGATTTGACACCAATGGACAATATGCAAACCGTCTTTTCTACATCAATGAATTAGACACAAAGAAGACAATCCTTTCACGCACAATACACATGGAAATTTGTTTGCGTGTGTGCATCCGCATAAATCTGTTTTCTGCCTGCAAGCAACACAGATAAGTGCTTAATCCAAACAGAAATGGACAAGCACTTGTGCTAAAGCTTTCTAATCATTTCACTTCATCACTGCCACCAGAGTATTTAGTCTAATGTAATTAAATTAGAACAATATAGAGGTGCATGTGATATGCTGAGATGGAGTTTGCTTTTCAGGTCACGTAATTGCATAATAATTTTCCTTTGGGTGCCTCATAAGCATGTTTGCAGTCTGCATAGTAATAATTAGAACCAGGTTATTGTTAGGCTTGGCCTTCCTTTAACAACACACTAACACACACACTAAGAGCTCTAGGGAGATTTTTACCTTGCTAGTGGGAAGGTTATCGTCTTCCGGATTTCATGAGCAGGGGAGCATTTATCATCTTATAACCTCATAGAGGAAGAATGCTTAAGGGAGATTAAGGAAGTGAGTCATTTACCATTTTGTCTTGACCTGATGTACTATTGCTTGAGAAAGTGCCATGTAACTGTTTTGGCCAAAAGTCAAACTGATAATGCAACTCTGTTAATTAATTCTAAGGGTTGCAGTGGTATCCAGCTTATGCCACTGTCCTGAAAGACCTCTTAGCTTTATTTTTGTGTCACTTCCATAAGACAGTTATTTGCTGACATATTGATTAGCAGTCACATGTATGGTTTGGAGAAGGTGGCGCTACCAAAACATCAGGAGGCAAAGCTGGAGATGCTAAGAATTTCAGTGGCAGTGACCATAAGAGAGAGCATTAGAAATGATTGCATCAGAAGGGCAGCTCAGGTTTTGAGTTAAAGTTAGAGAGATAAGGCTACCTTTAATCTACCAGGAAAGGAGATATGCACAGGAAGGATAGTGGATATATTGGGTAAAGAATGTTGAATATGGCGAGCCAGGCAGGAGGACAAGAGAAAGACCACAGAGAAGATGTATGGATGTATTAAAGGAGGGCATTAAGAGGGTTGGCATGAGAGAGGAAAATGTTGGCAATAGGGTTTAGATGGATGCACGCAATCCGCTGTGGGGACCCCTAAAGAGAGCAGAGAAGAAGAAAAAAAAGATTAGTTAGCAACCAGCCACTGTCCACTCCTGCAGGATGTTCTCAACCCCTGGTCTTCTGTAGAAAACATTTTTTTCTCACCAGTTCCCTTTTGCAGTAATTAGCCATAAATGTTAAAATTACTGTAAATCCAGGACTGTGCTGTCAGAGTAACAGCCATAATCTTGCCTTTACTCTGCTCCTGTCCCCTTTCTGTCGACTGAAAGATAAACAATTTTGCCCCCGCTGAGTCAGAGACACTCAAAAACAAAGCTTAAATGCCAGCTTTCTCCTTCGTGCCGGTCCACTTTTTGCCTTAATGCATGGTTGCCAATTTTCAACTGGCAGCTGTGGTGAGACTCAGACACTCACTTTAAATTTAAGACGAAAACAAATAGTAAAAATTAGAACAAAGGAAATGAATTTTGACTTTAGTAAACAGGGTCTGAGTCTTAGGACAACATCTGTATAAAAGGAAATGAAACTGAAAAGAAAAAGTAAAACTGCTACTCTGTAACAGCTCATCTGTCTCAGTTGCAGAAAGACAGACTCATTTATTATTGATAATAAAAATAATAATTAATGACCTAACCCCTCATCGAGATGCATCTATTTACCATATTGCTTCCATAGTTATGCAACAAATACGACTTCATTCCCAGCCAGAATTAAAACAACTGTTAAAAGTTAAAGGTCAGTTGAAACACATAAAAACTGTATTTTTTCTGATAGTGATGGGCGAGTGTCGGTGCTAAAAAAAAAAAAAGAAGAGGTTTTGGCGCAAGAGTTAGGAAATTAGAGGAAAAGCATATAAAAACAAGCACATCAAAGAAGAAGATGAAATAAGGCAGGGTTGCCAACTCGCGATGAGAAGCCATGATGGGAACTGAATATACTGCAGATCTTTCTTCATAAATTTTACATAAGCAATCCACTGGACATCTAATTAGCTGAACTCACAACTAAAACTTCTGAAGGTAACAATTCTATAGATCTTTTCCTTGAAATGGGCAAACAGATCTAATTACACCGAGTTACACAATCAGTATCTTTAGATTTTAGATTTATAGATGAGATAAATACATGATCAACAGAACTTTCTAATTCGTCATGAATACAATTTAAACTCAGCAGTCGAGTTTCTTGTTTTAACAAAAGTAATTTATCAACACAGTTTACATTGTTAAGCCATTTGAATCTGAAATCTACTTTTCTTCCTTTTTACAAGATGACCTTAACCAGTACAGTAATCAAATTGTACTAAATATGACCTAGGGTACCTACAAGGGAGCCAGAGGCATCAAATGATGAGTATTTACTTGTGAAAAAGCCTGTTTGCTCTTCATCCATGGAGTTGGCAAAGAAAGAATTTATCTATCTAGTTTATTAGAGTGACACTTTGCTCAACCAGGTCTTTAATACCGCATATGTGTATTTTTCTATAGGCGTCTCAGTGGATGCTGGCAGGGAGAGATGGTACTTTGTAGCCAAACAGTTCATAGTAAATTCAACAAACTTGTTTGCAGAATATGAAATTGAATCTCCTCTACTGACACTGACTCTTCGAGGAGCAAACTAAACAATAATAATCATTCAACTCTCTAATCTAACTTTCTCAAATTTGCTGCGAATGTCTCAAATGGCAGAGAGTATGGAGAGTAATGCAAACAGATTGCTTTTCCAGTTTAATAAACATGTAACCTTGGGCTTTTTCTCAACTGCTGTAAATAGTTTGCAGTTTTAGTTACTCTAAAAAGCTGGACTTGCACATGACCTGCAATGTACGTATTCCTAAAACAGCAAAAAAGCCATAATGCAACACGTTTATGCTTTAAAAGGCTTTTCTCTATATTTTTTGTAACTCTTGTGCTTATGATGTGATTCTTAGAGCTAACTGTTATACCACGACCATGAGCAAGTGAAGGCACATTTCAGTTCCTGAGATGTTTTGTGGCTGAATGTCAGGTCTGCTTGATAAAACTCAGATCCCCGGCTTTTCCAATCCATCAGCAGCTGTCTCCGCCCACACCTGATGTCTTCCACATAATCATTTTGTATTAAGCGAAAAAGAAAAAGGAAATACAAAGTGCTATCATACATGTGCACACATTAGCATGTGGCTAATATTTACAGTTGGAAGTTTGTGACAATGCTTATTTCCACATGCTATTTATCTCATGGTCTTTACATGTTATGCTTTCTTCTTCTGTCTTTTCTAAAACTGAAAATATTACAGCTAACTCTCCTTTGCACATTAATCAAATGCACGTACTAAAATGGACAGAGATCTCAGCATTACATAAAAATATTAATTTCACATTCTCATGTTCTTATTTCTATTGCGGTATAAAATGAGCTTGAAGGCTTTGCTCCTGCAAATACACAGGATCCTTTAGATTTCTATTTGGAATGAAGGGCAGCCTTGCTTGAGTGAATTATTTGGCCTTTTTAAAGATGAAGAGAGAAAAACCATTTCTTAATCTAGCCAATTCTTAATGGCGAACTACACTTATATATCTACACAGCAATGACAGAATACATTAAATCTTCAAAGGAACTCTCAAATAAGATACCCTGATTGCATGTCTTTAGTGCATGTGGGTTCAATTAGTACATTGCTGCTATTAAATTGCTGATGAAAATAGGGACCATCCATTATGTCCACCCTATTCTAAGATCCTGTGTAATTTACATGATAGCTTGTAGTTTTACTCATTCATGTCATGCCTGTGATTTGTCAATTATGTATTCATAAAGTCCGCACGTGTGCCAACAACAGCACTGTGATAGATGACAGATGGCTTGTCCTGGTGTATGAAGTGTAAGGATTAAGTTGATGACATGGAGTTCCTTGTCATGTCAGCTCGTGGCTTCCACCACATTTGCCCGTAGCTTCTACCTCACCTAATCGGAAAATGGCAATAAACAGCAGATTTATCTTACCGTGGTATACTATATTTCTTAATATCATGAGCTGTTCTGGATCCCGAGGACGTAAGAATGTCTCATTTATGTGAGAGACAGCTGAACGGAGAGTATGAAGCTAGCATCATTGTTTTCAATCATTCATCAATCATTTGTGAGAGAATTACACCATCCTGTATGTGTTGGCTCATTCATCACACTACAATATCTACCGTAGTTGCCCTTTGATTTAATTAGTAGGCATGCACATATTGAATTGGGGCTCTAAGTGGAAGCTTCCTTCTCAAGTTTGCAAGGGTGTAATTTGGTGCTTGTTTTTCTTTTGTTATTCATCGTATTATTTGCACTAGTTGGTATTAGGAATGAA